AGAGAGAGAGAGAGGAAGAGAAAGAGAAAGACAGAGACAGAAAGAGAGAGAATGAGATAGAGAGAGAGAGAGAGAAGCCAACGTGTGTTTACTCTCGGAATAGTGTGTCTCGGTACGCTAACGTCTGACTGTCGTCGTGTGGCGCAACCGTGTCGTCGTCGCGGCGATGGGCAACTGAGCTGCCGAGCAGCACGGGGTTGCTCGACTGCGCGGCAGCCAACGAAAAAGGGAAACCCCCGGGGGCGGCTGTGTGCCGTACACGCACCCACACATGCACCCTTCCGCGGAGGGTGGCGTTTACCCGACCCACACGGATCCCCTCTGGCACCGCTTGCCCCCTTCCCCTTCTCGCTCCCTCTCCGTTCATCCTCCTCTCGTTCTCTCTCACCACCGATCCCTTCCCCTTCGTCATCGCCTGCCTCCCTTTCTGCTCGATGCATACACAACCCCACTCTCGGCCCTTCTTTTCAGCACTCGTCGTCCCCTCGCGACAAAGGCGCCTCCGCTACTTTACGCGCCGACAGTGGCCGTCTCGCATCGCGGATTGGTCGGTCTTTTGAGACGGCCAGCCGGGTAGACATAGCCCTAGTTACCAACGAGAAGGTGGGGTCTGCCGATGTCAACGCCTCGATCGGCTACGCCTACGACAGATCGGTTCACCACGGCGAAAAGATCTCGGTCTGAAAGCTTCGAACTTGAGTCGCGCTTCTTCCTAACTCTCACGGAACGTTTAGTCCCGCGATGCCGGGCTGAACGTCTGATGGCTGACACATCGAGCATCACACACAGTGACGATCGTGACAGTCTCGTTGCAGAAAGACAGTTGCACGATCAGCGATTAATTTCATGCGATTTCATTACGTGCAACCTGAAACGAGATTATTATCTGACGAGGACAATTTGTTTTTACAATCGCGATTCGTTGGAATTCATCGATCGCATCTTATTGCCGCTGATCGACTAAAATGGCGACAAAAAGAGATGATCAAAAAAAAAAAAAAGTGTACTTGTACGTAGAGTGGCGAAGCTTCTGCAGCAAGTTCCAGCATCCAAAGTTTCCCCCAAAGTCGAAGCGAAGTTCCGCGAGGTAAAAATTGTGGCACTGTGAAACCGGCTTTCGTTCAGAACCTTTATTAACAAAGGGGGAGTGGTCTAAGAACGGGCCAATCAGAAAGCACCACTTTCAACCCTCATTGGCCGGGACGTAAATCGATTTATCACTCAACCCGTCCACAGTAGACAGGGGAAACACGCCCTTAAGGCCGTCCGACTTAAGGTCTACTCTCCTCGGATGCCTTTCGCGACTCTCAACACCGCCAATTCCACTTTAGGAGGATGGTGGTGGTGTTGGTGGTGTTGATGGTGGTGGTGACGGTGGTGGTGGACGGCGGGGCGGGGTGGTGCGGCCGTAGAAACACAGAAAGGGTGTGGAAATTCATGATCTTCGCTGGCGAGTTTCCCGATAGCGTTGGAGGAGAATTTTTTCGAAAGACTACTGAGCCCCGTGGTTGGATCCGCGCTCGAAATTGAGCTATTTTTCGAAAACGAGGCTTTTCCCTCGTTACTTGTCTTCTTCCTCTATCTACGCTCCTGCCTATCCATCTCCACGTTTTTCTATTTTCTTCGCCCTAATAAACACTTTTTACTTTCTCACTTTCGTAGTAGATATTGTTTCTTTGAGTTTTTTTTCTTTTTCTTTTTTTACGAGTCGGATTTCTTACCTCATTCTGATAAATTTCATTACATATTCCAATTGAAAAGAAAGTATAATGCCTAAATTTCCGTGATGATCGAAATAAAGATTTTTAGCTTCCGCTTCGTTTTTAGATGTGAATTATTGACTAAAGTATGAGTTAGTAAATGTATCAATTTGCTAACTATATCCACTAAATAGTAAATTATGACAGTGAACGTATAAAATAACAAGGGAAGTTTAAACAAGTGAGAAGGCCGAATGCAAACTGCAATGAAATTCAAAAAACTTTGCTAGAAAATTGATATCACTTGCATCTTCAAATGAAAAGCCCCGCGTGAACATTTCTGCTCGTCTAACGTTTGTCAGCAATAACGCCAAAGCAGCATAATACCGATGCTAAGATGCTCTTTTTATCGGCGAAAAATCTCGCGCATCTTCTAGCAGCGTGAGAAACAAAATGCTGTGAGAAAAAGAGAAAGGTTTTGTGTACGAAGCTTTGTCTCGGCAAAGTATCACCGAGTTCCTGCGTTTCATCACTTCGGCTAAGAAGTATAAGAACAGTTTCATCATTTCCACTCCCATTCGTTTGTTGCTTATATTAAGAAATTATTGTTCATTTTTAGTAGTGCTGTTTTGTAAGACGAACTTCCGTTCAATATGTTCAGCAACAATCATTTTTTCCACGTTAATACTGTAAAATATAATCTTAATTTTAAATTCGTTTCAATCGGTATTTTCCATATAGAGAAACAACCCCCTATAAATATTCAAGTCTATTTCAAACAGTTATAATTTTTTCTGCATTGTTATTGTATTGTAAAGTATAATCTTAATTTTGTAAAGTATAATCTTAATTTTTTCTGCATCGATATTGTACTGTAAAGTATAATCTTAATTTTTAATTTGTTTCAATTAGTATGCTCTTTCTCACGTAGAGAAACAACCCCCTATAAATATTCAGCGGTCGATTTAAAATAGTATAATTTTTTCTGCATCGATATTGCACTGTAAAGTATAATTTTAATTTTTAATTTGTTTTAATCAGTATACTTTTCCCCACGTAGAGAAATAACCTCTTCAATTTAACGGTTGATTTGAAACAGTATAATTTTTTTTCTGTATCGTTATTGTATTGTAAAGTATAATCTTAACTTTTAATCTATTTCAATTAGTGTATTTTCTTCTATCATTCAGAAACGACCCTTTGTGAATGATCAATTTGAAACAGCGCAATTCTTTTAATGTTAGTATTTCAAAATTACTAAATCTTAATTTTTAATCTGTTTTAATTAGTTTGTGTTTTATTCTATGAACATGAGAAACAACCCTCTGTGACTGATCAACAATTTTTTATATCTGTATTGTATTTTCGAAATTATTAATCTTAATTTTTAATCTGTTTCAATCAGCTTTTCCTCCACGTAGAGAAACAATTCCCTGAGCAACGATCAATTT